ATGTGCAGGCCCAGGAGCTGATCCCAGAGCGGGAAGGGGCTCCAGGAGAGCTGGAGAGGGCTTGGGATAGGGCATGGAGGGATGGGAATTCCGGGGGAATGAGGATTTTGGGATAGGGCATGGAGGGATGGGAATTCCAGGGGAATGGATTTGGGATAGGGCATGGAGGGATGGGAATTCCAGGGGAATGGGGATTTTGGGATAGGGCATGGAGGGATGGGAATTCCAGGGGAATGGATTTGGGATAGGGCATGGAGGGATGGGAATTCCAGGGGAATGGGGATTTTGGGATAGGGCATGGAGGGATGGGAATTCCAGGGGAATGGATTTGGGATAGGGCATGGAGGGATGGGAATTCCAGGGGAATGAGGATTTTGGGATAGGGCATGGAGGGATGGGAATTCCAGGGGAATGGATTTGGGATGGGAATGAGGATTTTGGGAAGGAATTCTTGCTGGGACGGTGGGGAGGGAATGGGCTGGAATCCCAAGAATTCCTTTGGAAAAGGGAAAGATTCAGGATCTCTGTGGAACTTCTGGGGCAGATTTTGCCTCCAGCTGAGGCAATTTTGGGATCTTATTCCCTGCTATCCTAAGGAATTCTTGGGAATTCGGGGATTTTATTCCCTACAATCCCAGGGAACCCTTGGGATGTTTTGGTGCAGACCCCAGCCCCGGGGAGGATTTTTGGGATGAATCCCAGGATTTCTCTGCCCTTTCCAGACCTGAACAAGGCGTGTGGCAATGCCATGGACGCCCACGAGGCCGCCCAGATGCACCAGAACTTCTCCCAGCAGCTGCTCCAGGACCACATCGAGGCCTGCAGCCTCCCCGAGCACAACCTGATCACGGTCAGAGCCCAGAATTCCCAGAATTCCCAGAATTCCCAAAATTCCCAAAATGGCCCGTGGCAAAAAGGACCCTCCTCATTTTTATACTTTTTTTAAAATGTTGTTTCTTTAGTGCTGTTGCATCCAAAGTTTTGGATTTTCCTCCCTCTGGATCACCCAAATCCCTCCCCAGCCCTTGGAATCCTGCAATTGGCATTCCCAGAAAGAAATCCCTCAAAAATATCCCAAAGAAAAGCAGGATAAGGGTGGGAATGGGATTTTTGAAGGGTTCTTCAGTGCTGTCGCATCAGAAGTTGAGATTTTCTTCCCTCTGGATCATCCAAATCCCTCCCAGTGGGATTTTGGCTTTGAAATCCCCAAAAAACCCCTGGAAAACCAAATCCCAGCAGGGTTCCCTGGTGGAATTTGGGATTCCCTGGGAATTCCGTGATCCTGAGGGAATTTTTCCCATTTTTCCTGGGATTTTGGCTTCGAAATCCCAAAAAAACCCCTGGAAAACCAAATCCCAGCGGGATGAGGGGTTGGGATTGGGGATCCCTGGGGTGGGGAGGGTTTTCCTGGGAATTCTGAGATGCTGAGGGAATTTTCTGGGAATTTTTCCCGGGATTCTGATCCCGTGTTTCCCTTGCAGTGGACGGATGGACCTCCCCCGGTCCAGTTCCAGGCCCAGAACGGCCCCACCACCAGCCTGGCCAGTCTGCTGTGAATTCCAGGAAAACTCCAGGAAAACTCCTGGAAAAAAATAATCCAGGAAAACTCCAGGATATCCACCAACAATATCCCGGGAGGGGGAAAAAAAAAGAAACGTCAAAAACTTGGGAAAAGAAACAAAAAAAAATCCATGGAAAAGCTTCCGAATTCCCTCTGGTAGTGAGAAAAACCCAGGAATTTTCCAGGGATTCCCAGAGCCTCCGGAGCTGCTTTTCCAGGTGGGAATGTCCAGGTGAACCCCAAGGTTGGATCCTGCCGGGAATTGCCAGGAAAGGCTGGGAATCCTCGGGGATGAGGGGATGAGGAAATCATGGATTGGATTCCCAGCTGGAATTCCCCGAGGGGAAGTTCCCATTTTTTTGGGAAGGAGGAATTCCAGGATTTCCTGGGCCGTCCCTCCCGCAGCCACAGCTCTCCCCACGCCGTTGGGACCGGGACAAAGCCGGAGTTTTCCTGCCAATCCCAAATTCTTCCAGGCTGAAGGCACCACCTGTGCCTTAAGGATTCCCAAATCCTGGGGATAAACCCCAACCCAGAGGTTTGGGAAGGAATTCCAGCCTTGCCCTCGGCGCAAAGTTCCCTTTGCCAGGTTAAATTCCCTGGGTTTAGCCCACTGTTCCTTTGGGTCTCCTAGAAATCTGGGAATGCTGAATCCCAGAAAAAAGCTGGAAGTTTTTCCAGGATCCCAGCAGTGCCTGGGGTGGAACTGAGCTGTTTTTCCCAGTTGGAATTTCTCCAGATTTCTGGGAAAGGGGGAGGGAAGAGAACTCTGGAATTCTTGGAGAGAGGAAAACCAAAGCCCTGGAACTGCCAGGGATTTTTGGGGATTTTTAATCCCACCTGGCTGGGAAGGAACCTTAAAATTCCCTTAAAATCCCTTTAAAATTCCCTCATTCCCATCATTTTTTTCTTCCCAAATCTCATCTTTTTCCAGAGCAAGGAATTTTTTTTCCACCCAGATTCCTCAATTTTTCCCTCTGGAATTCATTCCAGGGATGAGGTTTTTTTCGTCCCATTCCCAAAAAAAATTGGATTTTCCAGGGTTTTTTTCTATGGAAATCCTGGTCCAAGGTCTGCAAAGGACCTGGAAGTTTTGGGGATTGAGAGTTTTCATTCTGGATTTTTTTTTTTTTTTTGGGATTAAGGAAAATCCTTGGTGCCATTGGAACTCAAAAAAAAAACAGGGAAAAAAATCCCCCAAAATTCCCAAATCCAGGGGTTTTCCAGCCTGAATCCGGGGCTGCAATTCCCATGGGAAATTCCAGTGGCTCCTGGGGTTTTTTTGGGATATTTGGGATCCCACTGAGCCAGAGCCATCCCAGGAATTTTGGGATCTGGGGATTTTCATCAGGAACTGGGGCAGTTTTCCCAGTTTTGGACTTTTTCGGGAAGCACACTCCCAGTTTTTATTTCCTCTGGGGTGCAACAATTCCCTGGAATCTTTTTCCTTGGAATTTTCCTGGCTTGGGAAAGGCTGAAATCCCCAAATCCCAGCCAGGAAATCCAAATTTTCCTTTCTAACTCCATAATGTTCCAGAAGATTCTGGAATTTCAGGCCCAAGTCAGATCCAGCTTGGAATTTTGGGCTCAAATTCCCAAATTTTGGGCTGGAAAAGCCTCGGGATGATCCCAATCCCAGGGCAGGGACACTTCCACTATTCCAGGCTGCTCCCACCTGCATTTGAGCACTTCCAGGGCAGCCAAATCCCAAAAACTTTGGGAAAAACCCAGAAAAAAATGGGGAAAAAATGGGGAAAAATCCCAATTCCGGAGAGCTGTGGTTGGGGCTGAGCTTTGGGAATTCCCCAGTGGGAAAAGAGCCTTTCCCACCCCCCGGAGACGCCGAGGAAGGAGCAGAATTCCCAAAAATTCCCCAAAATTCCCAATTTTCCGCCTTCGATCTCCCGTGAAAATCCATCAAAATCGGTGAAACAGCCGGAAAATCCCTTGGGAATCCTGGGGGGGTTGGTGTGGGAGCTCGGAGCTGATCCCGGCTCCTGAGGGCTCCTCCCGCCGCCGGAATTCCCAAATCCCCAAATTCCTGGCGGAAATTCCAATGTACAGAGCTTTTTACCATTGTATATTAAATTATTTAATAGCTTTTTGTGGCAGCTTTTCCTTCTTTTTTTTTTTTTTTTTTTAATGGAGCAGAGCTGGGAAGGAGGAGCTGAAATTCCTTGGAATTTTGAAAGAAAAGAGGAAAAAGGGAAACCAAACCTGTGGGATTAAATCCCTGCGGGAACGATCCCAAATCCCACCAGGAATGATCCCAAGGGTTCAATCCCAATGGGAGTGATCCCAAATCCCAGGATTAAATCCGTGCAGGAATGATCCCAAATCCCATCAGGAATCACCTCAGATCCCACCAGGAATGATCCCAGGGTTAAATCCCAATGGGAATGATCCCAGATCCCACCGGGAATGATCCCAGGGTTAAATCCCAATGGGAATGACCCCAGATCCCACCGGGCCTGATCCCGGCGGAGCAGCCGGACCGGACCGGGCCGCTCTGACCCAGATCAGCTCCGGAGTCACCGAGCGGGGCCGGCCCCTCCAAATGCCCGGCACGGGGCCCTGTCCCTGCCCCAGGGGCCGCTCCCGCCGCGAGTCCCGGGCCTCAGCCGGCCCGGCCGCCACCCCGCCCGCAGAACCGGCTCCGCCGGCCGCGGGGCCTCCCCCGCTTCCTGCCGCCGGCCCCCCCTATCTGCGGCCCCAGCGCGGCCTGCGCGGGCGGATAAGGGCGGCGGGACCGGCCCCTCCCCGCGCCGCCATCACCTCAGCCGGCCCCGGGAGGAGCCAGCGCGGCCCGGCCCCGGGGGAACCGCCGCGAGCCGCCGGGCCCGGCCCGCCGCGCCGCCCCCTGCCCGCGGGCCGCACCCTCATTGGCTGCTCCTGGGTGAACCCTGTATGCTATTGGATGTTTCAGCTATCAGTCAAATTTAGACCACGCCTCTCTCCTCCCTCACAGCAGGGCCGCGGCGCGCACCACGGGGTCGCGCCGCTGATTGGTCAATATGACCGTCGATCAAAAACAAACCGCGCCTTTTCATCACTGCTTACTACGGGGGCGGGGCTACTGCTCACTCTTCGCGTCGATTGGCTGCACGGCAGGCAACCCACCTTCCTATTTGCCGACGCGGCTGTCAATCATTAGTTTAAAGATTAAAAAAACCCCACCCAACGCAGCGCCCCAGGCCTGGGCAGGGGGCGTGGCCGGGCGCGAGGGTGTCCCAAATCTGCCTGGCAACGGGGGGGTCCCGTGGGGGGGGGGGGCGCGAGGGGAGGGGGGGGCACAGGGGAGGGGAGGGGGGGAGAGGGGCGGGCACGGAGGGGGAGGGGGGCAGGGGCGGGAGGATGGGGGGGGGACGGCGAGTGGGGGGGGGGCGGGTCCCCCTGCGCGCGCAGCCCCCCCCGCCCCCCCCTCCTGTCAGTGGCCACCTGAGGGAGCCGCCTCCCCTCCCCCCACGGCCCCAGTCCGGGCCGGGCCCCGCTGAGGAGGAGGAGGAGGCGGCTCTGAGGGGGCTCCGGACAGTGAGTGACACCCGCGCCTCAGCAGCCCCCCCGGGGGGGACGGGGACCCGGGGACACCCCCACACACACACCCCCTTCCCCCCGAGGGCGGCTCGGGGCTCGGGGCAGCGCCGGGGACGGAGATCCGGGGCGGTTTGTGAGGGGCACGGCCGTGAGGGGAGAAGGGAGCGGCCAAAAGCCGCCCATGGCGAGGGGGGACCCCGTGAGGGACGCGGCGAGCCGGGCTGAGTGAGAGCGCCGAAGCGCCAGGGGGGTTCACGGGGGATGAAAGTGCGGCCGGGTGTGTGGGGGGGGCGGGGGGGGGGGGGTTGGAGATAATAATAAAAAAAAAGCTAAAAAAAAAAAAAAAAAGGCAAAAAGAAAAGGTTGGGAAGTCCGAGGGGAGGGTGGGCACGGGTGAGGGGGTGCCAGGGAGGAGCGGGAGTGCATCCTGGGAGTTGCCCGATAGGCACAGCCACCAGAGCATGTCAGCAAAGGCGGATTATTGGTGCCAGAGCCTTGGGAAGGCGGGGGAGGGGAGTGGGGGAGGGGACGGGCCACCACCGGGGCCACCGGGGCACGCTCGGGGCCGGGCGGGCAGCGCGGGCAGCCCCGAGGGAGCCCCCCCGAGCCACGGGCACGGCGGGGCCGCCGCCGGTGCCCCCGGTGCGCGACGGGCCCCGAGCGGCACTCCGGAAACACGGAGAAAGTTTTGGGCACGGGGCGGGGAAACGCGGGGAGAGGAGCGGGGATGTGCGGGGAGAGGAGCAGGGAAAGGAGCGGGGATGTGCGGGAAAAAGAGCGAGGATGTGCGGGGAAAGGAGCGGGGATGTGCGGGGAGAGGAGCGGGGAAAGGAGCGGGGATGTGCGGGAAAAAGAGCGAGGATGTGCGGGGAAAGGACCGGGGAAAGGAGTGAGGATGTGCGGGGAGAGGAGCGGGGAGAGGAACGGGGATGTGCGGGGAGAGGAGCGGGGATGTGCGGGGAAAGGAAGGGGGAGAGAAGCGGGGATGTGCGGGGAATGCTGAGGGGTTTGGGGGAAAACTGAGGGATTTGGCGAGAACTGAAGGATTTGGGGAGAACTGAGCGGTACAGGAAAATCTGAGGGGTTTGGGGAAAAGTTGAAGGAAAAAACAGGGATACAGGAAAAGGGATGAAGGGAAAAACAGGGATGCAGGAGAAGGGATGAAGGGAAAAACAGGGATGCAGGAGAAGCTGAGGGGTTTGGGGGGAAAACGGGTGAGGAAATGCTGAGGGGTTTCGGGGAAACTGAGGGGTTTGCGGAGAACTGAGTGGTACAGGAAAAGTTGAAGGGTTGAAAAGAAAAATGGATGCAGGAAAAGCTGAGGGGTTTGGGAAAAAGTGAGGGGTTTTGGGGAAACTGAGCGGTACAGGAAAAGTTGAGGGGTTTGGGGAAAAGTTGAAGAGTCGAAGGGAAAAACAGGGATGCAGGAAAAGCTGAGGGGTTTGGGGGGAAAACATTGAGGGATGCAGGAAAAGTTGAGGGGTTTGGGGAAAAGTTGAGTGGTTGAAGGGAAAAACGGATGCAGGAAAAGCTGAGGGGTTTGGAGAAAGATGAGGGCTTTGAGGAGAACTGAGGGAAGGGAAAGCTGGGATGCAGGAAAAGCTGAGGGGCTTTGGGAGAACTGAAGGAAAGCTGAGGATCTGCTGGAAAATCCCAGGGGCTGCTGGAAAACTCGAGGGTCTGGGGCAAAATGCGAGGGTTTGGCCTAAAACTGGAGGGTTTGTCCTAAAATCTGCGGTGCTGAAGGGAAAGCTGGGGCTGCACTGGAAAACCTCAGGGGTGGCAGGGAAACTCGGAGCTCTGCTGGAAAATCCTGGGGTCTGTTGGAAAACTCGAGGGATTTTCTGCTGGAAAATCCGGGGGTCTGTCCCAAAATTTGAGGGTCTGTCCCAAAATCTGAGGGTCTGTCCCAAAACTTGAGAGTCTGTGGGGAAAGTTGGGGCTCTGCTTTAAAACCCGAGGGCAAAACCTGAGGGGCTGTCCCAAAATCCAGGGGTTTGTGCCAAAACTCGAGGCTCTGCAGGAAATCCGGAGGGTTTGCCCCAAACCCTGGAATTCTCCTGGAAAACCCCCGGCTCTGAGTGAATACCGAGGATTTGTGGGATAATCCAAGGATCTGTTGGAAAGCTCGGGAATGGGTTCCTCAGAACTCCAAGGGTCTGCCCCAAAAGCTGGGGATTCCCTGGAAAACCCTGGGATCCCCTGGAAAACCCAAGGGGCTGGGGCAGAACCGCAGGGATTGTCCCAAACTGCCCAAATCCGGGGCTTTTCCCCAAAACCTGCGGGAGAAGCTGAGAGCTGGGAAGATCCGGGATCCCAGGGATCTGGGTGAAATCCTTGGTTCTGTCCCAAATCCCAGGATTCTGCCGTGAATCCCAAGGGTCCATCCCAAATTCTGGGGGTCTGCAGTGGATCCCAACAGCTTCTCTGGGAATTCATTCCAGCCAGGAATTCCTGCCCAAAATCCCACCCAAATTCCCCTTCCTCAGTTTAAATCCATTCCCTGTGCTCTGGAATTCCCAAATCCCAGATCCATTCCCTGTGCCCTGGAATTCCCATCCCAGATCCATTCCCTGTATCCTGGAATTCCCAAATCCATTCCCTGTATCCTGGAATTCCCAAATCCCAGATCATTCCCTGTGCCCTGGAATTCCCAAATCCCAGATCCATTCCCTGGCTCCTGCCCCTCCATCCTCATCCCAAATCCTCTCCAGCTCCTTTGGAACTCCTTGCACCTCTGGAAGCAGCTCCAGGTTTCCCTTGGATCCTTCCCTGCCTGGACATTCCCGGGACAATCCCATTCCAGGCAGGAATTCCCTCCCCAGTCCCACCTCTCCCTGAGGGAAGAGCCAGGAAATCCCAAAACCTTCCCTGGGAGCCTCTGGAATGGGGCAGCAAAGTGGAGAAGGAATCCCAAAGGAATCTGAGGAACTTTGGGATCTCTCCCATCCCAGGACATTCCCGCTTCCCGTGGGATGGGATTTCATCCAGGGAAGCTGTTTGGGGTGACACCCATGGGACTTTTCCAGCTTTGGGGTGCAATTTTCCTAGTTTGGGGTGATGTCCATTGGATTTTCCCATCTTGGGATGGCATCCATGGGATTTTCCAAGTTTTGGTTGACATCCATTGGATTTTTCCAAGTTTTGGGATGGAATCCATGGAGTTTTCCCAAAATTTGGGTGATGCCCCTGGAACTTTCCAGGTTTGGGACACTGTCCATTGGATTTGTCCAAGGTTTTGGTGAGATCCAGTGGATTTTCCACCTTTGGGATGGCATCCATGGGATTTTTCCAGCCTTGGGATGATATCCATGAAATTTTCATCACTTTGGGGTGGCATCCATTGGATTTTTCCAGGTTTTGGGGTGATATCCATGGAATTTTCCAGGTTTTAGGGTCGTATCCATGGAATTTCCCCACTTTTAGGGTGGCATCCATGGGATTTTCCAGCTTTTGGGGTGATTTTCTCTGGGATCATCATCCACTTCAGGAATATTTGGGATTCCTGATCCTGCCTGGATTCCACCTTCCAAATCCTCCTTCCAAACTCTGGGAATTTGGGGCTTTTAGGGATTTCTTTATGGATTGGGGCAACAGGAGGGTGAGGGGAAAATGGGAATGAGCTGGAAAAGCACGGCAGGGATCTGGGAATAATAATTAATAATCAATAACCAATAATCCCACAGCTCCCAATTCCTTCTGCCATTAATTTGGTGGGGAATAATTGAAATTTGGGATTTTGGATTTGGCTCCAGCAAAACTGCCCTGGAAAAGTCTTTGCCCAAAGTCCTGGGGATGCTGGGCGCTGATTTGGGGGGAATCTGCTGGGATTTGGGGAGCTCAGAAATTTTCAGGGAATTTCCTGGGATTTGGGGAATTCTCCGGGAGGGTTTTGGGGCCGGGGTTCTCCTGGGGCAGTCCCGGGGCTGCAGAGCTTTTGTGGGATCGGGGAATTTTGGGATCGGAGCCGGGCCCTGACCCCGTCCCAGCGCCCCCCAAAGCCACCGCTCCATCAGCCCCTGCCTCTGTCTCTGTCCCCTGTCTCTGTCCCCTTGCTGTCCCCTCTGTGTCCCCTCTCTCTGTCCCCTCTCTCTCTGTCCCCTCGCTGTCCCCTCTCTCTGTCCCCTCTCTCTCTATCCCCTCTCTGTCCCCTCTCTCTCTGTCCCCTGTCTCTGTCCCCTCTCTCTCTGTCCCCTCTCTCTGTCCCCTGTCTCTGTCCCCTCTCTCTGTCCCCTATCTCTGTCCCCTGTCTCTCTGTCCCCTATCTCTGTCCCCTGTCTCTCTGTCCCCTCTCTCTGTCCCCTGTCTCTGTCCCCTCGCTGTCCCCTCTGTGTCCCCTCTCTCTCTGTCCCCTCGCTGTCCCCTCTCTCCACGTGGCCTCTCCCAGCGCGGCGCTGCCCGCGCGCCCCCCGCCCGCCGCTCCAGCCAATCAGGGCCCTCCTCTCATCATCCGCGCGACCCCCCGCGGCCAATGGCGGCCCGCGACACAACCTCGGCTCCCCCCGCGCCGCGCCCGGAAGCGGCGGAGGCCGCAGCGCCGTGAGGGGCCCGGCCCGGAGCGGCCCCGGTGCCGTCCCGGTGCCGTCCCGGTGCCGTTCCCCCGCTGTCCCCTGCCGTCCCCTCCGCTATCCCCCGCTGTCCCCACGCTGTCTCACCGCTGTCCCCACGCCGTCCCCTCCGCCGGCCCCGCCGCTCGGCCGCCCCGCCCCGCGCATGCTCTGCCGGTGCCGCCGCGACTCCATGTGTGAGGAGCGCATTATCGGCACCGGGAGCCGCGGCGGCCACGGGAGCCCCCGGGAAAGCGCCGCAACAAGCGGGAGAGCGGCGGGGCCGGCGTGGGGACAGCGGAGCGGAGCCGGGAGCGCGGGGGGAGCTCGCTGCGGATGCGGCGCGGAGCTACGGGAGCGGCGCCCTGCGAGTTCTCCCGGTAAAAGTTCTGCCGGCGTTTGTTGGCTCCGGTACCGGAGCGACGGCACCGCCGGGGTTTCGGGAGAACGGAGGCCGGGATGCGGGAGAGCTGCCGGGGAAGTTCCGGCATTTCCTGGCCGTGCGGGCAGCCCGGAAAGTGCAAAGTCCCGCTGGCCGCGGCTCCGGCCCCGGCCGCCCGTGAGCCCCGAGCCCGCGGCACCGGGGCCGCTCCGGGATCCCGGGGCTCGTCCCCCCGGGAACCCCAACTCCGCCGCCCGCCCAGCGCCCCGGGGCGCCGCCGGCTTTTGTTTGGGAAAGTTGCTGCGGGCTTTCCGCCGGGCTGCTTCCTCTTCCTCCTCTTCCTCCTCCTTCTCCTCCTCCTCCTCTTCCTCCTCCGCCGCCGCCCCGAGCGCTCCGCGCCCGCTCCCCCCCGCGCTCCGCACTGGGGACACGGGGGGGACACGGGGGGACACGGGGACCCCCGGAACCCCCCCCGGTCACTCAGTGGTCACCCCTCGGTCGCCCCCCGGTCACCCCCCGGTCACCCCCCGGTCACCGCGACCCTCCCCGCTGTCCCCGGGGGTCAATCCCCGCTGTCCGGAGCCGCGATCCCCCGCGCTGTCCCCGCGGCCGGTGCCCCCCGGTGCCCCCCGGTGCCGGAGCCCCGCGGTGGCCGCGGCCGGGCCGTGCGGCCGGGCCGGGCCGGGGCCGTGTCACAATAAGAGTCCCCGGCCGCCCTTCCTGCGCCCGGGGCACCGGCAATGGCACCGGCACCGGGATCGGCATCCGCACCGGGAGGCGCTGCCCGGGATCGGGATCGGTGCTGGCATCCGCACCGGGATCCGCACCGGGATGGGCACAGGGATGGGGACCAGCACCGGCACCGGGATCCGCACCGGGATGCGCTGCCCCGGGGAGCTCTCGGGAATCCCGGGGTCCGGGGGGATGCGGGACGGTCCCGGCCCCGCTCAGCACACGGTCGGCAGAGGGAATTGCAGAATTCCAGCCGGGAATTGCAGGATTCCAGCCGGGAATTGCGGCCGGGAGCGGCTCCCGGGCTGGGCTGGGATCCTGCCGGGATGCGGGCTCGGGATTCACATCCCGGCTCTTCCCGAGCATCTCCTCACTCTTTTCCCGGGAGTGGCCCCGCACGAGAATTCCAGCCCGGAATGCCTCGCTCGGGATCAGAACTGAGATTCGCATCCCGGCTTTTCCCGAGCGTTTCCTGGCTGCTTTTCCAGGATTTTCCCAGCCCGCTGCTCGGTTTTCCTTGGGCTTGTCCGGGATTTCGCTGCCTTGCTCGGGCTGGAATTCCCGAGCTGTCCCAAATCCCGGGAATGCTCCAATCCCAGCTCTGGGCTCCGGGACCGCTCCGTCCTGCCGGGAACCGGAGCTGGGAGAGGCACAGGAAGTGACAGCGAGAGAGGGAGAGGGAGAGAGAGGGAGAGGCCTTTGGGAATCCGGGATGGCAGCGCCGGGATCGGCCTGGGAGCAGCGGGACAGGGCTGGGATCACCCTGGGATCAACCTGGGAGCAGCGGGAAGAGGAGTGGGATCTGCTGTGGCTTTTGGGAAAAGGGCTGGGATCAACCTTGGATCACCAGGAAAGGGCTGGAATCTGCCAGGGATTTGGAATCCCTTGGATTTTGGGAACGGGGCTGAAAGGTGCTTGGGATCAGCAGGAAAGGGGCTGGAATGTGTCTGGGAGTGTGGGAAAGGGGCTGGGATCGGTAGGAAAGCCGTGGATTTTGGGAGAGGGGCTGGGATCTGCCAGGGATTTCGGGAACGAGGCTGGAAGCGGTCTTGGATCAGTGGGAAAGGGGCTGGAAGTTGGGAATGATGGGAAGCTGGGAGAGATGGGAAGTTGGGAATGATGGAGGTTGGGGTGTTCTGGGAATGTTTCAAATTCCAAAATTCCGGATCCGAACCAGGGATTTCACTGATGGAATTCCGAAGCCGGAGATGAATCCTGAAAGGGAATGAATCCCTCTTTTCCCTTGGATTCATGGAATTCTGGGATGCTCTGGGGTGGGAACGAGCTCAGGGATCAGGCAGGGACATTCCCAGGTTTTTCCAGGCTGCCCTCCCTCTCCAGTTTTTCCCATAAATCCCAAACTTTTCCAGGATTTTCCCAGTCCTGATCCAAATGGGGGCTCCTTCCTGAGAATCCCAAGCCTTAACACAGCTGGAATTGCAGAATTCCAGGAGTTCCCAGTGAAATCCAAGGAATTCCAGCTCTCCTGGATCCCCGGAGCTTCCCAAACTCTGGGAAAAGCAGCCGGGGCAGTTCTGAATTCCAAAGGATTTCCTGGGATTTTCCCAGATCCTCTTAACCACCAACAGCTCCGGGTGAGCTCTGCTAATTCCCCCTGGAATTCCTGGGATCACGGGGCTGGAGCAGCCGGAAAAACCTGGGAATGGCCGAAGGCTCCGGGAGCTGCTCCTGGCCCAGAAAAACCGGGAATGAAGGGAAATCTGGGAATGCCATGGATGGAAACCGGGAACGGGTGGAAATCTGGGAATGCCATGGATGGAAACCGGGAACGGATGGAAATCTGGGAATGCCATGGATGGAAACCGGGAATGAAGGGAAATCTGGGAGTGCTATAGATTTCAGTGTCTGGAAAATCCGTGGGATGAATCAGAATTCCCAATCCCGATTCCCAGGATTGTGTTGTACTGTGGGATTCCCAAGTCCCGGGGCTGCGCCGTGCTGACATTCCCCATTTTTGTGGTGGATCATTGTTCTGGGATTCCCAAATCCGGCTCTGTTCCAGCATTCCCAAACCCCGGCCGCCTCCCTCGGGAATGTGGGAGTTCCCAGAATTCCCAGGATTCTCACCCCTCTCTGTTCCCGCAGGATCCTCAGCTCTGGCTCATCCTGGCGGGACCCCATGACCTTCCCTGACAGGTAGGAGCTGGCAATTCCCGGGATTCCTGGCAGTTTTATGGGATGGGGAATCTCTGCCACAGTGCCACAGGCCTGGAATTGTCTCCTGGAACAGCTGGAGAGGAGCTCCAAGAGGAGCTTTCCCAAAAATGCCCAGGAATTCCTGAGGGATTTGAGCCAATTCCCCAGGAAATCTCATGGATTTTCCAAGGGACTGGGGAATTCCAGAGGATCCAGAGCTCCTGGATTCCTGCTGGGATTTGTCCTGCGGGACTGGGCGGGCCTGGAGCGGGGATGGGATTGGGGATTTTGGGATTTGGGATTTGGGATTTGGGAAGGGTTTGGAGCCGTGGCTGAGCTCCCGCCTGGGCTGGGCTCACCTGGGCAGGCCCCACCTGTCCCGTGCAGGTCCCACCTGCTCAGGTCCCACCTGCCCTGTGGAGATGTCACCTGTGGGTGGGTGTCACCTGTCACCTGTCCCATCTCACCTGGGCAGGCCCCGCCTGTCCCCTCTCCCCTGTCCCGTCCCAGTCTCACCTGTCCAGGATTTCCAGGAATTCCAGGATTTCTCCTGGGATGGATCCGCCCCGATCCCACCGGGGATCCTGGGGCCTGGGATCCCAGGATGGGAATGGGGATCCCAGGATGGGAATGGGATTGTCCTGGGATCCCAGGGTGGGAATGGGATTGTCCTGGGATCCCAGGATGGGAATGGGATTGTCCTGGGATCCAGGATGGGAATGGGGATCCCAGGATGGGAATGGGATTGTCCTGGGAGCCCAGGGTGGGAATGGGGATCCCAGGACAGGAATGGGATTGCCCTGGGATCCGGGATCCTGCGGCTCCGGAATTCCCGGGACAGGGAAGGGGCCAGGATTGTCCTGGGGTAGGAATGGGATTGTCCCGGATCCTGTGGCTCTGGAATTCCCGGGAAAGGGAAGGGACTGTCCTGGGAAAAGGCCGGGATTGTCCTGGGATCCTTTGGCTCCGGAATTCCTGGGAAATTGTTTTTTGAAAAATTGAGGAATTTTGATGGATGAATAAGAAAATTCCTTGGGAATTCCAATTCTCCTGCTGCTTTTCCTGCTTTTCTCTGGGGTGGTCCCGCTGGGGAGGGAATTCCCGGCGGGAATCTCTGGGATCCCAATTCCAAGGAATTCCCAGCCTGGAATTTCCCCATTCCCGGCTGGAAAATGGGAACATTTAAGGATGGAAATTCCCTCCTTAATGAGGAATTAATTGGGAAAGATCCGATTGCAACTCCTCATTAACATTTAAATATATTCAGGAATATTTAAATTAACTCATGAATATATGAATACCCTAATGAATATTTAAATCGACCCAAGAATATTTCAGTCACTTCCCAACAAATGAATCTTGGAATTTTTCCCCTTAAAGGAGGAGTTTGGAATGGGAAATCAACAATGGAGAAATAATTAATGAGTGATTAATTAATGATTAATTAATAGCGGGAGGATTTGCTTGGAAAATCCCAGAAGTTGTTGAGAATTCTGCTCCTGGATTTCCTCTCTGCATTCCCAAAAAATCCCAACCCGGGAATCCCAGTCCCTGTGTCCTGAACGTTCCAGCTGGGAACAATTTGGGAATAATTCCCGTGGGAAAAGAGGAATTTTTCAGGATTTTTCCTGGCTTTGATCCAATGAAACCAGAGAATTCCCAGAATTCCCATAAAATCCCACAAATTCCTCCTGGAATTCCAGCTCCCCCCAGGGAAAATTCACCTGGAATTTGACAGAAATTCCAGGAAATCCTCAGAAATTCCAGGAATTCCCTCTGGATTTTTCCAGGCAGCCTCTGCTCCGCGTTTTCCCACTCCAGTGGAATTTTGGGATTCTCCTCTCCCGCTTTTCCTGAGCCTTTGGAGCTCCAAACTTCCAGGAGCAGGAATTCGAAGGATGATTTTCCCCAAATTCCTGTGGGAATTCCACAAAATTTCCCAAATTTCCCTAAAAATTTCCCTTCCCTTTGGATAAAAATTCCACCCGGGAGGCTCCGGAATTCCCGGGCTGGAATTCCTGGAGCTGCCCCAGGGCTTCGATCCCAAATTTTTCCCAGCTCTGGAGGAACCTTGGGATAATTCCTGAGGGATTTGGGACAAACTCCGGGAATTCCCAGTCCTGGATAATCCAGGAATGACCTGGGGGGAGGGTGGGAAAATCGGGATAAATCCCAGTGGGAATCCTGGGAATCAAAGGGATCCCAGGGCAAGGAGTCCCCTAAATTTCAGGGAATTCCCAGCCCGGGAGTGACTCCCAGGAAGTTTGGGAAAATCGGGAGAAATCCTGGCAGGAATGAAGGGAATCCCGGGAATCTCAGGGAATTCCCAGCCCGGGAATGACTCCTGGGAAATTTGGGAAAACGGGGAGAAATCCCGCTGGGAATCCCGGTAATCAGAGGGATCCCAGGGCAGGGAATCCCGGGAATTTCAGGGAATTCCCAGCTCGGGAACGACTCCCGGGAAGTTTGGGAAAACCGGGAAAAATCCCGGCGGGATCGGGGGCGGGAAATCCCGCGGGGAATGGCGGGAAGCGGAGGCAGCCCGGGATTCCCGGCGGGAATTCCCGGTCCCGGCCGGCATTCCAAGGGTTAAGCGCTGCCATTTTGTTCCCGGAGATTTCTCGGGAATGGCGCGGAAATGGCAGCGCTTAACCCTTGGAATGCCGGCCCGGGAATTCCAGCGGGATCCGGGGATTCCCCTCCCCCTCGCCCTTCCCGGGAATCCCCACCCCAAAATCCCGGGAAAAGCGGGAGCGAGGCTCTCCCAGGGCCCCGGTCCCACTTTTCCACCTGTTGGGATCCCGAAGTCTGGGGTGGAAAACGTGGGATTGGCGCTGAATTCCCAAAGAAAAGTTTGGAAATTTCCCCTGGCATTGCCGCATCCGAGGATTGGCATCGTTCAGCCTGGAATTCCCATGGATTTTCCTGGGAAATCTCGGGAAAATATTCCCAGAAAAGGGAATTCCCAGGAACTTTTGGACGATCCAAGGCTGGGGGATCCAGGAATTCCTCCTGGGAATCCCCGGGAGCAGCAAATCCATGGAAAACATTTGGAAGTGTTGGAATCCCACTTTTCCACCTCTGGGAATTTTCTGTTCCTGAAATTTCAGTTGCTGGGATTTTGGAAGCTGAAGGAGAGGAATCTCAGGATGTGGGAAAAGATGGAATTTACAGCCCAAGTTTCTCCTTTTCCTTTGGAATTTTATTGGAATTTTCATCAGGATTTTATTTGAGAATTTCCCTCCAAATCCAACCGCGTTCCCATTCCTGGAAAATCCTTCAAATCCTCCTTTTCCAGGGTTCTCCTGGGATTTTGGAGGAATTTTTTTCCCTTTTTCTCCCTTTTCTTGCCCTGGGCACTGGAATTCTCCTGAGGGAGGTTTCCAGCAGGAAAAACTCTGAGAATTCCCCTTTTCCAGGGCTTTTCCTGCCCTTTTCCTTCACTTTTCCTGGGTTTTCCCCTCCCTTTTCCAGGGATTTTCCAGCCCATTTTCCAGGCTTTTTTTCCCCCGTCCCTTTCCCTTCCTGTTCCCAGCCTCGGTCCGGTTGGAAATGCAGGAATTCCATGGTTGGAAATGCAGGAATTCCATCGGGTTGGAAATGCAGGAATTCCATCCAGAATACCGGGATTTTTAACCCTTTCGTGTCTCCGTTTGCCCGGGGTTCTGCAGCCCTTTCCCAGCATTTTCCCCTCCCTCTTCCCTCCGGTTCCCGGGATCTTTTCCGGGGAATTTTTTCCCGGCACTTTGAACTCCCCGTTCTCTCCCCTTTCCCGGGATTTCCCCCCTTCCCTCCCCCCGTTTCCCGGATTTTTTTTCCCCTTTCCCCGGGATTTTCCTGGGATTTTTCCGGGATGTTTTCCCCTTCTTTCCCAGGATTTTTTAACCCCTTGATGTCTCCCTTTCCATGACCTTCTACCCCGTTTTCCCAGGATTTTTCACTCATTTTCCAGGGCTTTTCCATTCCCTGTTGCCTCTCCTTTCCCAGGATTTTTTAACCCTTTGATGTCTCCCTTTTCCAGGATATTTTAACCCCTTTCCCAGGGATTTTCCCCCCTTTCCCGGGATATTTTTCCCGCTCATCGTTCCCAGTGTTTTTAACCCTTTCCTGGGATTTGTCCCCCTGCCGTTCCCGGTGTTTTTAACCCTTTTCCCGGGATGTTTTCCCGGTGTTTTTATCCCTTTCTCCTCGGGGATGTTTTCCCGGTGTTTTTAACCCTTTTCCCGGGATGTTTTCCCGCCATTCCCGCCGTGTTTAACCCTTTCCTGGCCGCTCCCCAGGCCCTCACCATGAGTGAGGACTCATGCCGCACCCGGAGCCAGAAGCGCGCCCTGGAGCGGGACCCGGAGCCCGACAGTAAAAAACTCAGGATGGACAAAGGAGTGCTGGGGTCCGAGCTCAGCGCCGCCGAGGGGGACATGAAGATCAAAGCGGATCCCGGAGCCGGGAAAATCCCGGGAATGCTGAAAAGCGGGGAGGTCAAAGCCACCATCAAGGTGGAGCTGCCGGCAGCCGGGGATGAGCCCGTGGACATGAGCACATCCAAAGGGTGAGGGCTCCTTGGCATTCCGGGAATTCTTGGCCTTGGGGAGGGTTTGGGTCCCCTCTCATCCCGGTTTTTATCGGGATGTGGCTGGGGTGGCGTTGGAGTTCAGCTTTTGGGAGGTTCTGGTGCCACGTTCCTGTTTTTTCCTTTGGAATGGTGGAAAAGTTGGGAAGAGAATCCCAGCCCATTCCAGGGGCAACTCCTGCTGATCCAGACCCCATCCTAGCCCCCTTTCCTTGGAGCTGCCAGTGGAATTCCTGAAACTCCAGCAGGAAAAGGAGTTTGGGAGTTGGGAATTTCTCATTCCCAGCCTTTATCCCAACCCGGTCAATCCCAATTTTCCAGCTCCAGGGAAAAGCTGGGAATGCTCCACCTGTGCCACTTCCAGAGGGAAATCCCTGGATTTGGGGATTCCCTGGATTTGGGGATTCCCTGGATTTGGGGTTTCCCAGGCTCGCTGTGCCCTCTAGAGGGCGTTCCAGACCCTTTGGAATTCTCCCATTCCTGAAATTCCTACCCCGGGCCCTTTTCCCAGCCCTGGAATTCCCTGGGGGGCTGGAAAAGGCTTGGAAAGAGGGCTGGGAAAGGACTGGAGAAACCCTGGAGAAGGAATGGAAAAGGGGCTGGAAAAGAGTTGGAAAAGGGTTGGGAAAGGGTTGGAAAGGGCTGGAAAAGTGTTGGAAAGGCTGCTCCTGGAGTGACCCCGTTCCCAGGATTTGCTCCCCCTGTGCTGACCCCATTTTCCCCGGGATTTGCTCCCCATTTTCCCCGGGATTTGCTCCCCATTTTCCCCGGGATTTGTTCCCCATTTTCCCCGGGATTTGCTCCCCATTTTCCCTGGGATTTGCTCCCCATTTTCCCAGTTTGCTGCCCCTGCAGTGACCCCATTCCCAGGTTTGTTCCCCGTTTCCCTGGGGATCCTGACCCCATTCCCGGGTTTGTTCCCCGTTTCCCTGGGGATCCTGACCCGTTCCCGGTTGTTTCCCTGTGGATCCTGACCCCATTCCCGGTTGTTTCCCTGTGGATCCTGACCCCATTCCCGGTTGTTCCCCTGTGGATCCTGACCCGTTCCCGGTTGTTTCCCTGTGGATCCTGACCCCATTCCCGGTTGTTTCCCTGTGGATCCTGACCCATTCCCGGTTTGTTCCCGGTTGTTTCCCTGTGGATCCTGACCCATTCCCGGTTTGTTCCGTGGCTCCAGGGAGTGCCGGCGGGAGCAGCGCGTGCCCTCCCCGGATGTGATCGTGCTGTCGGACAATGAGCCCTCGAGCCCCCGCGTCAACGGCCTGGCCCGGCTGGCGCTGCCCGAGCCCGGCACCGAGGCCCTGCTGGTGAGCGCTGGGAGGAGCTGGGATCAACTGGGACTGGCTCGGGATGAACTGGGATCAACTGGGAATGGGTCAGGGTTAACTGGGATTGGGTTGGGTTAGCTGGGATTGGGTCAGGATTCACCAGGATTGGGTCAGGATTAACCAGGCTAGGGTCAGAAAAACCCAGGATCAGCCACATTTTCCCCTCCCAGCTCCATCCATTCCCATTCATTCACAATTCCAAAACCCAGGAGCCAATTCCAGCTGGGAATTCTCCTCATTTACTCTTTGCAACGAGTTTTTTCATGGAAAAATTCAGAACTCCCCTCAGAACTTTCCCCTTTCCCCTCAGAACTCCCTCCCCCCTCACTTCTCCCACCCCCCATTCCCGGTTGGGAATTCTCACCGTGGCTCTGTCTCTGCCCTTTCCCTGGGTTTTCCCTGGGCTTTCCCTGGGGTTTTCCCGGCGTTCCAGCGGAGCCCGGAGCAGCGGGAGCGCCTGATCAAGCAGCTGCAGGAGGAGCTGAGGCTGGAGGAGGCCAAGCTGGTGCTGCTCAAGAAGCTCCGGCAGAGCCAGAGCCAGAAGGAGACGCCGGCGCCCAAGGTAGGAAAACCCGGCTTTTCCGGGAATTCCCAGCCCTTTTCCAGGAATTCCCAGCCCTTTTCCAGGAATTCCCAGCCCCTTTTCCAGGGGTTTTTAACCCCCTGCTGTGGCCTTTTTCCTGGATTTTTGGAAGCTCTTTTCCTGGATTTTTTTAAACCTTTTCCTGGCATTTTTTAGCCTTTTCCCAGGATTTTTAAGTCCCTGGTGTCTCCCCTTTCCTGGGTTTTTCCTGCCAGTTCCCAAGGACTTTCCCACTAATTCCTACCAATTTTCCTGCTAATTCCCAACGATTTTCCTCCCAGTTCCCAAGGATTTTCCCTCCAATTCCCAAACCCTTTCCCCTGGACTGGACCAGGAGGAGTGGGTGCCACTTCCAAGGATTTTCCTGTGAATTCCCACCAATTTTCCTGCCAATTCCCAAGGATTCTCCCGCCAATTCCCAAGGATTTTCCCGCCAATCCCAAGGATTCTCCTGCCAATTCCCAAGGATTTTCCCGCCAATCCCAAGGATTCTCCTGCCAATTCCCAAGGATTTTCCCGCCAATTCCCAAGGATTCTCCCGCCAATCCCAAGGATGCTCCCTCGGATGCTCCGGGCTCTCGCCGTGTGCTCCCTGCTCTCTGCATTCCCCCTTTCCCGCCTTTTCCTGCTGCTCTCTTTCCGCTTTTTCCTTTTCCAGCTTTCCTCGGGCCCCTCTGGAAGCGCTGCGGCCACGCCCCCCGCCCTTGGTGCGGGGCCCTCAGGCTGTTCCCGCTGGGAAATCTTCCCTCCAGGTCAGTGGGAGCCGGGAAAAGCCGGGAAGAACCCGGGACAAGCCGGGAATTCCCGGGAAAAGCGGCCAGCGTTGCCCAGCTCCCACGGGTGTTAGGGATAAGGGGCCGGGGAAAGGAGGGATGGGGTCTGCAGTGGGATTGCTGAGGCAGGGAATTCCTGGGGGGAACCGGGAATGCACTCTGGAATTGCCGAGGGAATCCCGGGATTTCCTGGGAGGGAATTGCTGGATTTTCTTTGGAACAGCTCAGGGAATCTCAGGAGTTTTCCCGTGAGGGAATCCCAGGATTCTCTGTCAGGGAATCCCTGAATTCCTTCTGGAATTGCTGAGGGAATCCCAGGATTTTCTGGGAGGGAATCCCAGGATTCAGGGTTGGAAAAAATCCCATTCCAGACTGAATTAAACCCTTGGAATCCTCAGGGAAGGAAATTCCAGGAATCCATGGACAGCTGTCACTCACCCCTGGATTCCTTTGGGATTAGATCATTCCTGCTTTTATTTTTTCCTGGGATAATGGGACCCAAATTCCCAAACTTCTCCAGCACGAGGGATTTTCCTTGGAAAAGGGTTTGGAAAACCCCCAGAATTCCAGGAAAGGGAGGGATTTGCTCTCCTTTAGGAGCCATTCCCAAATCCAGAGGTGTGGGAATCTTTACCGTGGAACCACTTCCAGAGGAACTGGAAAACCTTCAGGGAATCTTGGAGTTAATCCAAATAATCCAGTTTATACCAGCAATTCCTCTGGAATTTTGGGTGAATTAACCTGGGTTGGGTTTTGCTGGAGTGTCCAGGAATTCCCGAGGGAGGAGCTGAGAGATTCCCTGGGAATGGGATGGAATTCCCAACATCCCAAATCCTGGGGAAGGGGGAGATCCCTGATCCCAGGGGCTGGGAAGGAGGAAATGCCAGGATTGGGATGCAGAGGAAAGTTTGGAATTTTGGGAATCTCCCAGCCCAGCACTAGGAGGGAATTTGAGGATTGGAGTCCCAGGAATCCTCAGGCAGCAGCTTTTCCAAACTCCTCTCTCCTCATTCCTTTTCCTCCTCCATGATTTTTCCAGAACTTTTTCTTCCCTCCTCCTTTTCTTTTCCTGCTTTTCCTTCTCCCAGGATTTTTCCCAGATCTTTTCCTTTCTGTGATTCCTTTTCCTCTTCCACGATTTCTCCTGGAGCTTCTCCTTTCTCCTGATTTCTCTCCCAGGATTTTTTCCCAATGTTTTTCTTCCCTCCTCCCTTTTCCCCCTGCTTTTCCTTTCCCTCCACAGATCCAAACACTTCCATTCCCACAAATCCCAGCATTTCCATTCCCCATTCCCACAATTCCCAACACTTTCCCTCTGATTTTTATCCCATTTCCAGCTTTCCCAACATTTCCCCCCCATTTTTATCCCATTTCCAGCTTTCCCAACCCACTTTCCCCCATTCCCATCTTTCCCATCCTTTTCCCCCCATTATTCCCCCATTATTCCCCCCATTATTCCCCCCATTATTCCCCCCATTATTCCCCCCATTATTCCCCCATTACTCCCCCCATTATTCCCCCATTATTCCCCCATTATTCCCCCATTATTCCCCCCATTATCCCCCCATTATTCCCCCATTACTCCCCCATGATTCCCCAGCCCCACTCTGACCGGGTTTCCGGTTTTTCCCGTTTTTCCCGTTTTTCCAGCCCTCCTCCAGCCGCGTCCCGGGCTCCGGGCTCCCGCCCCCGCTGCTCCGGGGGGGCCAAGCGGCCGCCTCCAAGCAGAGCCCCCAGATTGTGATGCCCCCCCTGGTCCGAGGGGCCCAGGTGAGCTCCCCCCGCTCCCATTCCATGGAAAGATTCGGGATTTGCCCCCTCTGGTGGGTGGGAACATCCCGTGGGATGTGCTCCCATAAAAACGGGGATTTGGGGTTAATTCAGGGTGTTCTGGCTCCTGAGGCTTCTTGGGAGAGGGCGTGGGAGGCAATTCCTGCTTTTCCATGGGTTTCCCTCTGATTATCCTTTCTATCCCACCAATTCCATAGATCCCCAACCTCCTCTTCCATGGATTCCCAACCCCCTTTTCCTCATTTTCCCAGCAAGCCCACTCAGAAATTTGGGAATTTGGGGTTGGAGGGAAAGGGAAAAACATCCTGGTTGTTATTCCATGGTTTCTTTGTGCCTTGCTCATTCCCACTTTTCCCAACTCCTTTTCCGTGAACTCCCAACCCCTTTTCTGTGAATTCCCAACCCCTTTTCCACGTTTTCCCAGCAAATCCACACCATCCGGCAGCACTCGAGCACGGGCCCGCCGCCGCTGCTGCTGGCCCCGCGCGCCTCGGTGCCCTCGGTGCAGATCCAGGGCCAGAGAATCATCCAGCAGGGCCTGATCCGCGTGGCCAACGTGCCCAACGCCAGCCTGCTGGTCAACATCCCCCAGGTGAGCATTCCTGGGAATTCCTGCTGGGAATTCCTGCTGGGAATGGGGTGGGAATGACCAACGCCAGCCTGCTGGTCAACATCCCCCAGGTGAGCATTCCCGGGATTCCCGCTGGGAATTCCTGTTGGGAATGGGGTGGGAATGGTGGGACTGACCAACGCCAGCCTGCTGGTCAACATCCCCCAGGTGAGCATTCCTGGGAATTCCTGCTGGGAATTCCCGTTGGGAATGGGGTGGGAATGATGGGAATGACCAACATCAATGTTCCCCAGGCAGGCACGGCCCCGGCGGGTGGCACTGGGGACTCCCCTGGTTCCCAGTGATCCCATGGATCCCAGTGATCCCATGGATCCCGTTCCTGGTTCCCAGTGATCCCATGGATCCCAGTGATCCCATGGATCCCGTTCCCATGGATCCCGTTCCTGGTTCCCAGTGATCCCATGGATCCCGTTCCCATGGATCCCGTTCCTGGTTCCCAGTGATCCCATGTATCCCGTTCCTGGTTCCCAGTGGTCCCATGCATCCCGTCCCTGGTTCCCAGTGATCCCATGGATCCCGTCCCTGGTTCCCAGTGATCCCATGGATCCCATCCCTGGTTCCCAGTGATCCCATGGATCCCGTTCCCATGGATCCCGTTCCCATGGATCCCAGTGCTCCCATGGATCCCGTCCCTGGTTCCCAGTGCTCCCACAGGGAATCCATTCCGGTCTCTCTCCGCAGGCATCCCCCACGTCCCTCAAGGGCTCGGCGGTGCCCTCGGGCCAGGCTGGCGCGGCCCCGGCGGGCGGCGCGGCGCTGGGCGGCTCGGGCGAGGCCCCGGGCAGCCGCCAGGCCGCGGCCAAGCTGGCGCTGCGCAAGCAGCTGGAGAAGACCCTGCTGGAGATCCCCCCGCCCAAACCGCCCGCGCCCGAGATGAACTTCCTGCCCAGCGCCGCCAACAACGAGTTCATCTACCTGGTGGGGCTGGAGGAGGTGGTGCAGAACCTGCTGGAGAGCCAAGGTGAGCCCGGGAGGGGCAGAACCCGGCTGAAACCCGGCTGGGGTCAGTTAAACCTGGCTGGGGATCACTTAAACCCGCCTGGGGTCAGTTAAACCTGCCTGGGGTCAGTTAAACCTGGCTGGGATAACTTTAACCCGTCTGGGGATCACTTAGACCTGGCTGGGATCACTTAAACCTGGCTGGGATCATTTAAATGTGACAGGGATCGGTTAAACCTGGCTGGGATCAGTTAAACCTCCAGCAATGCAGGGTTAAAACGTGACAGGAATTGTTTAAACCTCCCTGAAGGCACCCTGGGGCTGACCCGCCATGTTTGTCCCCCAGGGAAGGTGGCGGTGGCCGTGTCCTGCCGGGAGCCCTACCTGTGTGCCCAGTGCCACACGGACTTCACGTGCCGCTGGCGGGAGGAGAAGAACGGCACCATCATGTGCGAGACCTGCATGGCCTCCAACCAGAAGAAGGCCCTGAAGGCCGAGCACACGAACCGGCTCAAGGCCGCCTTCGTCAAGGCCCTGCAGCAGGAGCAGGAGATCGAGCAGAGGATCCTGCAGCAAACGGCCCCGCCCGGGCAGCCCAAGGCCGAGCCCGTGGGGCAGCACCACGCGCTCAAGCAGGTGAGGGACCAGCCCAGAGCCGCCATTTCCTGAGGGAAAAGGGTCCCAGGGCTGGGGTGTGGCCTGCGGGGTTCGGGCCTCGGGTGGGGTTTAGGGTGAGGGGGATTCTCGTTGTTGTGCCAGGCTCTAAAGAGTAGCCAGGCCCAGAGATGATCCAGGCCCAGAGAGCATCCGGGCCCAGAGAGCATCCAGGCCCAGGGATTATCCAGGCCCAGGGATCATCCAGGCCCAAAGAGCATCCAGGCCCAGAGATTATCCAGGCCCAGAGAGCATCCAGGCCCAAAGATCATCCAGGCCCGGAGATTATCCAGTCCTGGAGATTGTCCAGTCCTGGAGATCATCCAGTCCCGACAATCATCCAGTCCCAAAGAGCATCCAATCCCAGAGATCATCCAGTCCCAACAATCATCCAGTCCCAAAGATCACCCAATCCCAACAACCCCCCAGTCCCAAGGTGCTGCATTCCAGCAGCACCCCGGGTGACTCCACGTTTGCTCCCGCAGAGCTCCAGCCAGCTGTCCCGGGGCGCGTCCCGGGGGGTGCTGCACAGCTTCAGCTCCTCGCCCAAGCTGCAGAGCTCCTCGGGCAGCGCCGCGCTGGGCGGCCGGCCCGGCAAGCACGCCGACAGGGCCGGCAGCAAGGGCGGCGCCGCCTGGAAGAAAAACCCCATCAGCACAGGTATGGCAGCCCGGGCATCCCACGTTTCCTTGGGATCACCGCCACAATTCCCACATTTTGGGTGGGAATTTTCCTGGGGTGGTGCTGAGGGTTTGAGGTGAAAGTTGGTGTCATCACCAGCCAGAATTCCCAGTTTTGGGTGGGAATTTTCGTGGAACAATGCCAAAGGTTTAAAGTGGAAGTTGGTGTCATCACTGCCCAAACTTCCCAATTTTTGGGGTGGGAATTACTTTTCCATGTGGATTTTCATTATTTTTCCCTGATTCCTGAGCCATTCCATGACTCCATAATTCCAGAGGGCTCAAATGCTGATTTTTGATCCAAAACCTTTGTGTTTCTTGGGATGAGTTTGGCGCTGGATTGCACTGGGATAATCCAACTTTAACTCTTACTTTTCTATGCGATTTTTTATTGTTTTTCCCTTATTCCCAAGCGATTCCATGACCCAGAATTCCCTTTCCCCCCCAGGTGGGGCCCTGCCCTTCGTCAGCCCCGCGCTGGCCGTGCACAAGTCGGCCTCAGCCGTGGAGCGGCAGCGCGAGTATCTCCTGGACATGATCCCGCCCCGCTCCATCCCACAGTCGGCCACGTGGAAATAATTCCCGAGGGAGGACTTTTCCAGGCTCTGCCATCCTTTCTTTTCTACCACAATTCCGTGGAATCTGCTTTAATCCCAGCTGGATAACGCCCCGAGGCTTTCTAGGATGCAGCACCACCACTCCTCATCCGTCCCTGCCGGGAGAAGTGACCGCGTCGGGGTGGCCGAAGCCCGGCTCCGTTGGCTCCCAGATTTTTCATGGAAGCTGGCAGGGAAAGGGGGAAGAATTCCTTAATTTTTTTTTTTTTTTTTTTTTTTTTTGGCTTTTTTCCGTATTTAGTTTTGAAATTTTTTTGGCACCAGCACAAAAAAAAAAAAAAACAACAAACAAACCATGAAAGGACTCAGCGACTCCTCTCTGCCTTCGCCAACACCGAACTTTTTGCCGGGAACGCTCCGGAATTGCGGAATTTTGGGGCGTGGAGAGAGGAATTCGAGCCCCATCCTGCGTTTAGTGAGCCCGAGTTCATGGCTGCTCCTTGTCCCTGCTCCTCCTCCAGCCGGGAAAGCAGGCGGCGCCTCCCGAGGTTCCCAAAACTCCGACGATCCCAAGGAGAAGGGGAAGGAGGAGAAGTGCAAATCCCCGGTTCCGCTTGAGTTTGGTTTGGTTTTCTCCCTTAGGGATCGGCTGCCGCCCAAACCTTGGCTGGGAGGTGGGAATTGCTGCGGGAAATTCCCACTTTTTCCCTTGGATTCTGGTTGGAATCAGACTTTGGAACCGTTGGTAGTTTCCAAACCTTGCAGTTACTGAGACACAAAATCCACCTTGGTTCTTTCTCATCCCGCGAATTTTGGGCCTTCCCGACGTTCCCAGAGACTCCAAAGCAAAACTTTTTGGGAATTTTTTTTCCTTTGGGAGGGTTGGTTGGGTTGGTTTTTTTTTTGTTTTGTTTTGTTTTTTTTTTTCCTTCCTTTTCTGTTGTTGTTTTGAGGGATATTATTCCAAAATCTATAGGAATTCCAGAAGCTGATGCAGGCAGGGAGGGTTGGGAGCCGTTCCCAATTCCCACCGGGAATTCCGGCCGTTCCCAATCCTTCCCTCCGTGGTTCGAGTTCTTCCAGGCATCCCAAGCATGCTCCTGTATCCATTTGGGATGGAGTTTTCCATTGTTTTTTTGGGAATTCCAGAGGTTCAACCCAAAATCCATCCGGAGGCCAGTTTGGTTTCATTTTTGGTTTCTCATCCTCTTTTTCCTTGGGCTTCTTCCTGAATTCCAGACGAATCCAAGGGGCAGAATTCCAGGCCTTATTCCAGTGAGGAGAATTCTTTGGGAAATTTGGGGAATTTTCTTGGGGAAATTATAAATATATATAATTTAGAGATCTATATATATTAAAGAAAAAAAAAAAGTGTGTGGGGGGAAATTCAGGAAAATCCGGATTTATTTTCTTAGGAATCGCTGAAGCCAAGAATTCCTTCGGGATCATCCCCCTCGGATCCGAGGGACAAAACCCCTCCCTTTTCCCACTTTTCCTGGTGTTTCCATATTTAGGGATTTAGTTTAGGAAAAAAAAACAAAAAACAAGCAACAACAGCCTTGTTTTCCAAACTGGGATTTGTTGGATAAAACCCCCGGAATTCCCAGCTGGATGTGGATTTTGGGGTGTTTTCCATAGGGATGTGAAGAGCTCAGATGTGGGAATTGGGTTGGAATTTTGGAATTTGGAGTTTTCTTTTCATTCCAAGCTTGGACTGGGAGATGCCACCCACGTGGAATTCCTTCAATTCCATTGGATTTTATGGAAAAGTTGCCGTTCCTTTCCCACGTGGAATTTTTTGGGGTTGGTTCGGGGGAATTTTCCTCTCCTGGCTTTTTGCTCATGGATGCCAACGTTTGGAAAAAGTTCATTCATTCCCAAAAAAAAATCCCAACAAAATTCCTCCAGTTAAAATCCAATTTTTTTTTTTTTGTTTTGGGGTTGGGGGGAAACCTGGTTCATTTATTCCCAGAGTTTGGATGATTCCTGAAAAAAAACCCAGGGAATGGAAGAGTCACAGAAGGATTTAATGGGATAAAAACGATGTCAAAACTTCCTGGATCCCAGCAGAATTCCCTTGGAAATTGGAATTTCAGCCAGTTTTGGTTTATTAAAATAATCAGGAATGTTGGAATTGAAGGATTTGGAATAAAAAACCCAAACAAGTCTCTGTGTCCAGACTTGCAAATTTTCCATCCCGATTTTTTTTTTTGGATGGATAATTCAGGATAAATCCCAAAGAAAAATTAACTGGGGGATGGGGGGGAAATCCATCACGGATTGGGGCTGGAAAACCAAAACATTTTATGGGGTGGGGCTGAAACTCCAAATTCCCACCTGGAATGAGGCTCCTGGGATCCAGCCTGGTTCTGACGTGGTTTTTCCCAGAATGTTCTTGGAATGCTGCTGGGAATTTGGAGGATTTGTTTGATTCCATCAAGGTTTCTGCCAAATTCGGGATCAATCCGGGAAGGATTCGGCGTTGGAGCGCCGGGAGGGTTTTCCCTTCGCAGTCCCGGTTCCACGCTCCATTGCGGGGGTTTTGGGATTGTTGGGATGGTCCAGGTTCCAAGCTGTTCCAACTCTTCAATACAGATTTTCCAAACCTCTTCCCAGTCTCCTTTTTCCAGGAAAAAGCCCCACAAAAAATGGGAAAAACGATGGGGGGGGAAATAATCTCGGAGGAAAGGAAAATTCCCATTGTGGAATTCTGCCCTGGAAGGGAAATGTTTGGGAATGGCGGAGGAGGGGGGGATTTGGGAACAGATCCTGGGGTTATTCCTGCTGCTGGATCCCCTTTGGAATTGGGGATTCTCTGACTGGATCCCCTTTGGGATTCCGGAATCCCTGAGATCTGTTGGGTCCATTTGGGGATTCCCAAATTCCTGAGGGCTTTTGGATTTCTGGATTCCCTGCGGCCCTTGATTCTCTTTTAGGGTTCCCAGGTCCCCGAGATCTCCTGGATCCCCTTTGGGATTCCCAAACCCTCGAGGCTTTAGGAATTCCCAGATCCCAGAGATCTCCTGGGTCCCCTTTGGGATCCCCAAACCCTCGAGGCTTTAGGAATTCCCAGATCCCAGAGATCTCCTGGGTCCCTGGGAACGCCACCCACCGCCCCCATTCCCGCAGATCCCTCGGGATCCCGGGTCCCTTTTCCCGCTCTTCCCGAGCTTCGCTGCCCGAGCTGCTCCGGATCCAGGAGGGGACCCTAAAGCCATAAAATTCCCGCTCGGAGCCGCCGGGATTTTGGGATTTTCTGGGATTTTCTGGGATGACACCGCGGGGAGCGAGGAAGCGCCGTTGTAATTTAGATTTTAGCAACTTGTGAAATAAAACGATCCCGGATTTTCATGGGACAATTCCCGCGGTGGGGCTGGGGCGGCCGTGTGGTTTTTCTTGGATTTCCTTCCTGACAGTCGGGATTTGGAATTGCACCAAAAAAAAAAAAAGGAAAAAAAAGAGTTGGAATTTTTCTTTCTATCCAAGGCTCTTCTTCCTCAGCATTCCCAGCTTGGAAAGAAGGTGAATCCCTGATTTTTTATGTCCCAGGGATTCCTGTGCCTGCCATTCCTGAGGAAAACAAAGAAAATCCAAAATTCCAGCAGATTGGGGATTGGGTTTTATTAACCATGTCTATTTTTATCCTCATTTTGGGAATTCTTCCTTTACCTCTGGGTTCTCCCTGCCAGTTCTTCCCTTTGTTTTTGGGGAAGAATTAGAATTGAATTCCCAAAGTTGAATCCCAGATGGAAAACTGGGAATTCAGGCTGCAGGAAGGGGTGAAATGGAGGAAATTCTGGGAGATTTTGGGTAAAAACCTAAATTTGGCTCATTTGTCCCTCTTCTTTGGGAAGGAAGAACAGGGTGGGATTTTTTTCCCTTGGATTTGTTGGGACTCAAAATATTCCAGAATAAATCCCAAAATTTAATAATTCTCACTAATCCCGCCAATGGAAGGATCCAGAATCGTTAATTAATCAATAATTAATTGGGGGGGGGGTGGATTGGAATGACAATAAACAGAGAAACTCCTGGATCTGCCTCGCATTCCCAGGATTTTAGGGGTGGGGATGGAACTCGTGGATCACCCAGACAGAGCCGGATCTGCTCCTTCCTCTCCCAAGGATTATCCCCCCAAAAAATTGGGAAGACAGGAGAAGGGGAAAAGAAGGTGGCAGAAATCCAGGATTTTTGTGCATTTCCTGTGGAATTTCATGGATGGAGCATCTTCAGAGGCACATCCCAACGGAGCAAATCCATAAATCCAGAGCCTTCTCCATTCCCACCTGGAATTCCTGCTCCAGCACCCTTGGATCTCGCCTGAACATTCCAGGAAAACCCATGGAGCCGTTGGATCGTTTCCCTCTGGAAGGAGAACGGGCCAAGGACATTCCCAGATGGATTTCTCCCCCAGTTCTGGATAAAATCCAAATTCTCAGAGCCTGGGAAGAGCCATGGCCACGTGGGAATTGCCATGGAATTGTCCCAAATTCCTGTGGAATTGGGTGGGGGATGATCCCAAGGAATTGTTGGATCTCCTTGGGTGGGAGATGATCCCAAGGAATCGTTGGATCTCCTTGGGTGGGAGATGATCCCAAGGAATCGTTGGATCCCATTGGGTGGGAGATGATCCCGAGGAATCGTTGGATCCCGTTGGGTGGGAGATGATCCCAAGGAATCTTTGGATCCCGTTGGGTGGGAGATGATCCCAAGGAATCGTTGGATCCCGTTGGGTGGGAGATGATCCCAAGGAATCGTTGGATCCCGTTGGGTGGGAGATGATCCCAAGGAATCGTTGGATCCCGTTGGGTGGGGGATGATCCCAAGGAATCGTTGGATCCCGTTGGGTGGGAGATGATCCCAGGGAATTGATGTGGCATTGCCCTTTTAAGCGCGCGTTGCCCCTTTAAGTGAGGGTCCCCATCGCTCACGTGACCGCATCACGTGAGTTTCCCGCGCGCGGGAGCTGGGCGGGCAGGCGGCGCGGCCCAGTGACGTCACCAATCCGCGCCGCGATGGCGGCGCCGAAGGTGAAGCAGGACATGGCCCCGCCGGGCGGGTACGGCCCCATCGACTACAAGCGGCACCTCCCGCGCCGCGGCCTCTCAGGTGAGCCCGGGGGGGGCCGCGGAGGCGCCGCCGAGGGGCGGCGGGGGCAGGAGCGGGGCCGTGCGCCCGCTCCGCGCTGAGCTCCCCTCACGGCCCTCCGGCCCTCAGGATACAGCCTGTTCGCGCTCGGCATCGGGAGCCTCCTGCTCGGGTACTACACCCTCGTCAAGTGGAACCGCGAGCGCAGGTGACGCTGCGAGCCCCCCGCGGGCACCCCCGGCCCGATCCCGGGGCTCCTCCCTGCGCTTCTGGCCCCGGGATGGGCTTTTCACACCCGGGACCCCCCAGTGCCCCATTCCCAGTGCTCCCAGTCCCCCCAGTTCCCCATTCCCCCGTTGCTGTCCCTGCAGGCGGTTGCTGATCGAGGAGCTGGAGGCTCGGATCGCGCTGATGCCGCTGCTGCAGGCGGAGTCCGACCGCAGGTACGGGGCTGGGAGCTCCCTTTATGGGATTTGGAATTTACCTTGCATTGGGATCCTCCTTTATGGATTGGGAACTTCCTTTGGGACTGGGATCCCCCTTTATGGGACTGGGAGCTTCCCTTGGCACTGGGAACCTCCCTTTATGGAACTGGGAACTTCCATTGATGGGATTGGGGTCCCCCTTTATGGGACTGGGATACCCCCGTTGGGATTGGGATACCCCCATTGGGATTGGGAACTTCCCTTTGGGATCGGGATCCACTTTGGGAACTGGGAATTTGGGATGGGGATCCCCTCTATGGGATGGGGATCCCCTGTATGGGATCAGGGTACCCTGTATGAGATCGGGGTCCCCTTTGGGGTTGGGATCCCCCATTTGGGATCGGGGTTCCTTCCCGTGCCCTGTGTCCCTCAGGACGCTCCGGTTGCTGCGGGAGAACCTGGAGGAGGAGGCCAAGATCATGCGGGACGTTCCGGGCTGGAAGGTTCGGGATTCCCGGGGGAATGGGGGGGGGCTGCCCCTCTGGGACCCCATGGGATGCAGCATCCCCGTGGATGTGGCTCCCTCACATGGATTTGGGATCCCCGGGCACTGGGGCTCACCCCTGGCACTCCGTGTCCCCCCGGTGTCCCCCCGGTGTGGGGCGGTGCTGCCCTGACCGGGACAATCCCGGGAATTCCCGACAATTCCCAACACAATTCCTGGCGATTCCTGACACAATTCCCAGTGATTCCCAACACAATTCTGGACAATTCCTACTAATTCCCAACACAATTCCTGGCGATTCCCAACCCAATTCCCAACACAATTCCCAGCCCAATTCCCAACACAATTCCCAGCCCGTTCCCGCTGATTCCCAGCCCGTTCCCGCTGTTGCAGGTGGGCGAGTCCCGGTTCCACACGGATCGCTGGGTGCCCCCCACGGTGGAGGAGCTCTACTACCTGCGGCCCCCGGCCGAGCTGGAGCGAGAGAAGTTCGGGCTGCAGAACTACGTCTGACACCCCAAACCCCAACCCCGGCTCCTTCCAGAGCTTCCCCCCCTTTCCTGTCCCTCTCCAGCCTCAGTCCCCCATCCCGAGCTTCTTCTGACGCCTGTTCATTAATAATTAATAAATAAATAATGAATGAATAAATAATGAATAAATAAATAAATCCTTTGGGGATTGGAATTTCCCCATGGAATTGGGAACCCCCCCCCCCAGGAAATTGGGATCCTCCCTTTGGGACTGGGAACCCCGTGGCTCCCGGACTCTGCTCTCTCCATCTCTCCCTGGAATTCGGCAGCTCCCGGGGGATTTTCCCGGGAATTCGGGCTGGGAATTTGGGATGGAGGGAGGGGCCGTGTCCTTGTCCCCCTCCCCGCGTGCCCCCCGCTCCCGGGACTGCGGATCCCGCGGGAAAAGCCCCGATCTGGGGGCGTTTAACCCCAAAATTCGGCCCGGTTGGAATTCCCGGGTGGGAACCACGGGCGGCATTCCCGGAGCGGGGCCGGGCCGGGAGCGGGGCGGGGGCACCGGAGCCGCCTCCCCCCGGGCGGCACCGCCGAGCGCCCCCCGCTCCGGCCGGAGCATCCTCGGCATTCCCGGGGATCCGGTGGGACCGGAGCATCCTCGGCATTCCCGGGGGATCCGGTGGGACCGGAGCATCCTCGGCATTCCCGGGGATCCGCTCCCACCGGCGGCTCTGCGGAGATTCCAGCGGATCCGGTCCAGCCACGCACGGAGGCTCCGTGCGGCTCCTGCCGGGGTTCGGTTCCGCCGCCGCCGCCCCGGTGCCGCTCCCCGCCATGAGCTCCGCGCCCTGCCCGTCCCGGGAGCCGCCCCGGTACCTCAGGTGAGCCCGGGGTCCCCCCGAGGAGCCCCCGGCACTCGGGCGGTGCCGCTCAGCGGGGGCTGCCCCGGGACCGCCCCGTTCCCGTTCCGGGACCCCGCGGGGGCGGGACGGGAGCTCCCCCTGCCCCGGGAGCGGCCCCGGCTCGGAGCCGGCCCCGCGCGCTGCCCCCGGGCGGGGTCCCGGTCCCCACGCGCGTCCCCGGGCACGGGGAGGGGGGGTCGGTACCCACGGAGCCGCCGTCGCCGGAGCAACCGCATCGTCCCGGGTCTCCATGGCCGCGGCGGGGATGCTCCGGGACTCGGGATGGGCACCGGGGGCACCGGGGACACGCGGCGGGGACGGGCCGTACCGGGAGGGAGCAACGGAACGGGAACGGGGAACGGCACCGGGATGTGGGACTGGGGGGTGACACTGGGATTTGGACCGGGGGCGCAGAGAGCGGACACAGCCGGGATAAATGTCGGGATGTGGAGCTGGGATATGGAGCGGGGATGCGGGACCGGGATGCGTTCCGGGGGTGGGGCCGCAGCTCCCGGGGAGCCCCGGCCGTGTCCCCGCCCGGGGCCGGTGCCAGCCCCGCGGAGCCAGCGGGTGTCGCTGCCAGCCCGGGCTGTCCCTGCCAGCAGCGATTAGGGACAATGTTCCCGGGAACGGCGGCGGACACGTGGCTTTTGTTGGGCGAGGGACAACACAGCTGGGCCAGGCCGCCCCCGCCACCCCCGCTCGGCACGGGAGCGGCTCCGGGCACCGCTCGGGCCCTTCCCGCCCCTTTTCCCCCCGGTTTTCTCCCCAGAGCCCCCGCCTGGGGCTGGGACAGGGCTGGGACAGGGCTGGGACTCACTAGAGGGCACCAAAGGATCGGGGACAGGGACGGGAATGCGGGACGGGAATGTGGGATGGGAATGTGGGACGGGATGAAGTTTTCCTGGCAGGTTTATCAGGACAGCCAAGGGATGGGGTGTGGGAATGGGGGAACCAGGAGCTTCCTGGGGCCCTGGGATTTCCTGGGCTCTGCCAGAACACGGCTGGTCCGTGGGGACAGCCTGGACGGGTGGGAGCCCCCTGCGGCCTGGGACCCCGGCCCGGGCCCCCTCAGCTGCGCCCTGGCAGGGCCGGGTTCCCTCCCGGGGCTGCTCTGAGCGGTTCCCCCCAGCCCGGGGTACGGCGGGGTCTGGATCCGCCCAGCTCCGCTCGGTTCCCCCGGTACCGCCGGGATCCCGGCCCGGCGGGGCTCGCGTTCCCTCCCGGCGGCCGCGGCGGGCGCTGGAGGCGGCCCAGGCCGCTCCGCCCGCGCAGGTGAAGCCAACAGATGTGAGCAATTATTGTCGCGCTGGGCGCTGCCAGCTCCGGGCTCGGCGGCGGCGGAACAACCGCGGCTTTGTTCGCTTTTATGTAACCGGGGAACCGGGGCCGCCGCCAGCTCGGCCGAGCGCCGCTCCCGCCGGGCCCGTGCGGCCACGGTCCCCTCCGTGCGACATCCGTGCGACATCCGTGTGACCTCCGTGCCCGTCCCCACCGCGGTGTCCACCCCGAGCCCCCGGCGCGCTCGCCCCGTGTCCCAAAACCCCGGCCCGGGGGTGGAGCGGGGTCCCGAACCCTCTGGGGGTGGGGACAGCTCTGTCCCCCTGCCCTGAGCGGGGACTGTCCCCAAGGCAGCCAGGCGGAGGCGGAGGCCATGGAGAAGGAGCTGCTGGAGGATTATCGCTTCGGGCGGCAGCAGCTGATCGAGATCTGGGGACACGCCTGTGCCGTGGCTGTCACCAAGGTGAGCCTGGGGACACCCAGAGGGGCTGGGGACACCTCAGAGGGGCTGGGAACACCTCAGAGAGGCTGGGGTCCCCACCGGGGGTCGGGGCGGGGGCCATGGGGAGTCCCCGGAGGTGCCCGGGTGTCCCCGAGCCCCGGCGATGTCGCTGCCGCGGGGATGGCCCGAGGCTCGTGCGAAATGTGAGGAGCAGGAGGAGGAGGAGGAGCAGGAGGAGGAGGAGGAGGAGGAGGAGCAGGGGTCCATCAAGGGCAGCTTTGTGCCTGGGGCCCGAGCGCCTCAGCTTTTCCATCGGCCCTTCCCTGCTCCGAGCGCTGCCTGAGGAGCAGGAATGTTTTGGTGCCGGAGCTGTTGCAGCATCCCTGACCCCACCTGGCGCTCGGCATCCTCCCCTTCCTCGGAGCCACCCCAGCTCCGGCTCCCCCAGCTGGCCGCGCTGTCCCCGCGCTGTCCCCGCGCTGTCCCCGGTGCCAGGAGGTGCCGGCAGCGTGGCCAGCGCTGGGCCGGGGCCAGGCCCGGGCTACCGGGGCCGTGTCCCGCTCCGGGCACTCGGGACGTGTCCCAGAGCCAGGATCCGTGAGCAGGAAAAAATCCGTCAGTGGATAAACAGAGGCAGCGTCCCTGCCTCCCTCCCTCCCTGCCCGAGCCATCCCGGAATGCGCAGCGGGCGGGACCGGGGCGGGGGCGGGGGGGGCAGCGGGCACGGCCCGGCCCGGGCACCCCCCGGTCCTGCTGGGGGCATCGCCCCGAGGGTACCACGGGCATCGCCCCATCCCACCCAGGGCAGCGCCCGAATCCCACCCGGGGCACCTTCCCGAGCCCACCCTGGAATTCCACCACAGGCACTGTCCCCATCCCACCACGGGCACCATCCTCATCCCAGTACGGCCCCTGTTCCATCCCGCTCGAGGTGCCCAAGTCCTGCTGTGGATGCCCTGCCGTGCCATGCCAAACCATGCCAAGGCATCCCGTGCTATGGATCCCATCCCCATCCTGCTCCTTGTGCCACCTCCATCCCATGCTGTGTGCTGTGTGACAGCGCCATCCCCCGTGTCCCCCTGCCCCTCGGTGTGACGCTGTCCCCGCTGTCCCCTCGGTGTGACGCTGTCCCCGCTGTCCCTGTCCCCGCAGGCGTTCCCGCTGCGCTCTCTGCGGCGCAGGCAGCCCACGCTGCTGGTGGCGTGCGGGCCGGCGCAGAACGGGGCCGTGGGGCTGGTGTGCGCCCGCCACCTGCGCAGCTTTGTGGGTACCTCTGCCCCCGCCCTCCTCCTCCTCCTCCTGGCCTTCCTCCCAAGCCCCCCCGCTCCAGGGCTCCGTTTTTCCCGCAGGATTACGAGCCCACCATCTTCTACCCCAAGCGCTCCCCGGACCCGCTGCACCGCGACTTCACCACGCAGTGCGAGAAGATGGACATCCCCTTCCTGTCCTACCTGCCCACCGAGGTGACCCCAGCCCTAGATCCCCCTGCTTGGCCCCTTCTCCTTCTGCTTTCCCTCTGTGAACCCCCAAATCCCCCAGATCCCCCTGCTTGGCCCCTTCTCCTTCCCTTTTCCCCCTGCGAGCCCCCAGAAGAAAGGAAATTCTCCTTCCCTTTGTCCTTCCCTTGAAATTCCCCTGCTTATCCCCCTCTTCTCCTTCTCTTTCCCCTCCCTGAACCCCAAAATCCCCCCAAATCCCCCCAAACCCCCCGGCTCTCCTTTTCTCCCTCTTTCCCCTCCTTTTCCCCCTCTCCCCTCCCCATCCCGGCGCTGCTGGGATCCCGGGAATGCCAGAAAATCCAGAAAATCCAGAAAATCCAGCGGCTGCTGCCCGCAGCCACCGGCTCTGTTATTTTTGGAACCTCTCAGCGCTGGGAACGGAGGAATTTGACCCAAAATTCGCCGTCTCGGCTCCGCGGCCCCTCCCTCTCTGCTCCACTTGGGGGGGATTTTTTTTATTTTTTATTTTTTTGGCACCGCCGGGGGTTTGTGCCGTCAAAGGTGACACGGGGACACCACAGATGCCGCTGTCGCCTGCAGGTGCAGCTCATCAACGACGCCTACAACGCCGTGGTGGACGCGGTGCTGGGAGCCGAGGGGACGCAGGGGACAGAGGGGACAGAGCCGTGCGCGGCCATCCTGGCCACCCTCAGGCACGTCCGCATCCCCATCGTCAGCCTGGATGTCCCCTCAGGTGCTGCCCGCGTCCTCTCGGGTGTCCCCGGGGGCTCCCCCTGCCCCTCCAGGTGTCCCCTGTGTCCCCTCAGCACTGCCCGTGTCCCCCCGGGCCCTCCCGCGCTGCCGTCCCCGTGCCCGTGGCGGCGTCACCCCGGGACCCACCTGCGGTGGCCCTGGCGGGGTTGGGGACATCCACAGGAAATGACAGCGCCCGGCCCAGACATGACGTCACTGGCAGTGGCATTCCCGAACGGCCGCGTGCCTGCTGGCCAGGCCTGGCATTGTCACCAGCCGTGTCCCCCAGCCCGGCCTGGCCGTGTCACCCACCCCGGAGGGTCCCCGCGGGGACAAACTCCGCCCGTGTCACCCCTGCCCGTGTCAC